TGTAATGTATCAGCAGGATGCTACAGTAGTATTTCATCAAAAACCTGTAGGTTTGAAAGAAAGGCAGATCTGCCTGTATTTTCCTTAAAAATTAATGAAAGTGTGTTAAGACGTTGTGGGACATATTTCACACTTCAGGCAAGACATTCAGCTTAAAGTTTTCAGGTGTAGAAATGTTTTCTTCCGATGTTCTGCTTTGAGGAAAGCAGGTCCCAGAGAGTCTTTAACATCCCCAACAGTATGGTTCTGCTTACCACACTGGTGGGAAGATGTCTGCCACAGTACAGGAATTAAATCTATTCAAGACGATCAATACAGCAGTTGAAGCTCACCCTTGAAAAAGTTTCACCAGTCGAAATGTTTTTTTCTTTTCTTCTGCTTTTCTACTTGTTCCTATTAAATCATTTCTAAAATATTTTTTCAGATGAGAGACTCTATTTAATTGTCACGTTTAATTTCAGCCTGTTGGACAAGTATTACGAGATGAAGATTGTCCCTCAATGTTGGTTCCTAGCAGACCATGTAAGTATGAACTATAACACGTTTGTGTTAATAAATTACAATCTTATCAGGAAAAAAAAATAAATTAAAGATGGGGACACAGTATACCTTTTGTTCCCTAATGGAGAAAAATATAGTTTATCTCTAGGGGAAAGGTTTCATAATAGATGCACAAATATGTCTACGATAGCTGTTCAATCTCATTATTTAAATGTCAAATTCTCCTCATCTCAATTCCCAAATGCACCAGATTCAGCAATACAACCCAACCCACAGTACTTTAAGAGCAGTTCTTTTGGCAGAGACATATAATTTTTTGTAAGAATTTTTCGCCAGTGTCAGATTGTAGGTGTAATGGTGCGTTTTCCTTAGAAGAAATTAAATCCCACGTTGAAAATGAGTGGAGATTTTTTTTTATTCCACCATGAGTAGGCGAAGAAATGAAAACTGGGGAGCAGTGAGGTTAGGCGTGTGCTTGCTTTTAGCAACTGATGAATGATTTTGTCTGCTGCACTAAAAATATTAAAAAATGAAACAAATCAAAGTGGTTTCTCTCATGTTAACTGCTGTTCTGCAATGATGTTTTCTTGCTCAATGAATAAGCAGATGTTTGTAACACGCTTTTGTGAAAAAGCCTTACATAAGTAGAACATTTTTTTTTTTGCAGTGACTTTTGGGAGAAATACATTATTCCAAATGCTGATCACTCACAAACCAGTCTGAGTTTGGGACAATTTTTGGACAATAACTTTCCAGAAAACCCAAAAAAAACCAACATTCAGTCTTTGATCCACATAGTTATAGCTGAACTTGTTCCTAAGCTTTTCTTTCATGTAATGCAAAAATGTCACTTTTTGGTAGCGTATTGTCTGTATCTCCTGAATATGTCCTATGGTGGTTGTTGCAGTTCTTCAGCGGTGCTTTCCTGACTTCACTACCAGAAATGGGGTGCTGACTGTTGCCAACAAAACTATGTTCAAAGACGGACGAGGCCAAATGAGAAACGTGACTGACCTCCGAGAGGCCGCCAGGTAAGTCCAGCTCTTTTTAGGCACTTCCACACTGAGGTCAGGGTGCTGGATATAGGCTAGATACAGGCTAGATACAGGCCAGAGACCTGCTGGGGACCTGCTGGGGACCTGCTGGAGACGCGCTGGGGACGGGCTGGAGACGGGCTGGAGACGGGCTGGGGACACGATGGAGACAGGCTGGGGACACAGTGGAGACATGATGGAGACGGGCTGGGGACACAGTGGAGACATGATGGAGACGGGCTGGGGACACGATGGAGACCTGCTGGAGACTATTATATAGTATAGTAAAAGCATCTCTTGCTAATCCTACGTAGGGGTGAAAAATAAACTAGTTCAGTGCTTTTTGCCTGGGGGGGCTCAAATGCAACATTTTTTTTATTTAGGTCATTATAAATCAATGAAATACTGTATGTGAAACAGAAAATTATTTGAAGACAAGTCTGTCCTATAGAAATGCCCTAAATTCAGATCAGTCCAACTACAATACCTCTATCACCTTCAATGCTTTGCACTGATATAGCTTCCTTGCTTCCAATTGATAGTGATTTTTCCTTGTATCTGCTTCACAATGGCCTCTGATGTTTGTCATAAAGTATACAAGGTTCTATAAAATCGCTTCTATTATTCTATCAGCAGGACAGATATTAACCAGAAGCAAAATAAACTGTGATTGTTAGAGCGTGAGACAGTTTTTAATGCAGCCCTTGAGCTCGGCAATGTTGCCACATTTTTCCATTTCCTCAAAATATTCTTCCAGGCTATTCCTGCAGGCCTACCGCACCCTGCTGCGTGCATTCTGTTTAAAATCTGTACAAACCAGACATGCATGCTTGCGGCTGCCTCTGTCCCAGTTTTCACAACTTTAAATGAAGCTCCCCTGTGTTACTGTGAAGACCACGTTTTTTTTTGTCTGACCTCACCTCTTCAGTGCAGACACACGCGAGAGCTATTATGGACTATAATGGAAAATGTTGTTAAAACACAAAAAAAGCACAGGTGTGTTATTTTGAGACAACTCTCTAAAGCTTTTTTTTCCTATCTACAATATCTGACACTCAATACTTTCCAACAGGTGTATTGCCCTGCTTTTCTTAGCTAATTTAAGGTCTGAATAAAGTTGACCTTAATTCATACTATACTGAAAGCTACTATATAAAGAGAAGAACATATGGGTAATACCATGTGGAGTCTGGAGTTCCCTGGAAAACAAAATTAACAGAAGACCTAATAGATATTTTAAAAGCCTCATAACTCTAAAAAATAGATACTTTACAAGTACTGTAAATATTATGTTGCCATCACTAATGTTTTGTGAAGTGTGTGTTTGACATTTACTCATTTCTGAAGCATTAAGCCTTGAGAAGAAACTGGGAATGAGACGTCCATGTTTATAAACATTTCTGATTTTCCCATAACTTCCACGCCAAAGGCTTTTACACCCATCTTTCTTGAGACCCCCCTGTAATGCACAATGTAAACCTATTTTTTATCATTGACCTGATGAAACATAAGTGGGGTGCTTTTCTTTTCTAGTCACGTTACAGCTGTTCGCCAGAGAGGTGAAAGGTCTCAAGTCATTTTTAACCTTTAACCATAATCCAGCGCTGAGCTGCCTGCTAACTAACCCTCCTGCTTTTTAGTCTGATGTGACAGTGCCAGTCCTGCCTGATTCTCAGTGAATTGCCATCAGCATCTTTCACTGCCCAGATCACCTCCAGATTGACACAGTACACGGATATGCTAGATTTCTTTATGGATAGTATACAAACATAAGATTAGCTTTTTAAAAGAAAAAAAAATGTTCCTGAGTTAGCTTTTATTACAGTGCGAGCCTTCTGCTGGTGTTGTGAAGGAATGTTGCTGTCTGTTTTCATGAATAGTGATACGAGTAGGTCACAGCACAGAAAGGCCTCAGTCAGACATCTCTTGTCTTTGTTAACACTTGACTAACCTGAGTGACCTGCGGTGCTGGAGAAGAATATATCCCAAATTCTGAACACAGTACTGAAATATTGTTATCAATGTCTGCTGAAGGATTTGGGGCTTCAGTTTTACTTCTCTGGCTCTGTGCATTGTGTTTTGGGTCCATTACTATCACTCCCCTTAAAATAACTCAGCCAACAAGAGGTTCATTTTCAGCTCCTTCGTTTTTGAGGGCACTGTTCAGATTCTCGTTCCTCTTTTGCATTGTTTAATCCAGAGCTGGGGTGGTGAGTGTGGCAGATCAATAACCCCTTTTCTCAGAGAGCAGGGAACAGAGAGAGCAGAAGGCGGTTTAAAGTTCTTTATTCCCATTGAAAATCATCACATTTTAGTGGAAGCTCATTGATTGGATTCAACCTTTTATGTCGAATGTGTAGGAAGAGCAATATGGCTGAAAAGTGAACACAATAACAGGCGTGTGGGGTGAATTAGCAATGCCTTAGTGTTTTCAGAAGATGTTTCTAGAACCACTGCAGCTGCCACACACACTGTCACTATTTTCTCTGGGTCTACCGAGCAGGCACACTGTTTGATTGCTCTCGATGCCTCTGGTGTGTGTTCCTGTTGCATCTCTTCATGCAACAATTCTGGGAGGCTGAGCTCTTGAACAGCTGTCAGATAGAAGCTTTCTGGGCTTTTTTGGAAATGTATGAGCCCACCCTCTTCCTGAGACAAATCCTGTTATATTTACAGTGAAGAAAATCTAGAAAGGATAAGAAAAACCTCCCGTGAGAAAGCATTATGAGACAAAATTGCCGCTGCTCCTTGTTGTCACTATACTACTAATACATTAAATGTGTACAATAAAAGCAGTTTATTGGGGCTGAACTCATTGCGCTTCATCCTAAGCCAAAAATTTTAACAGCCTTCTAATGAACTGCTTAGCTCAGCATAATGTGCAGCATTTTTCTTCTGAAATTGCCTTTTAAATCTGACATCCTGAATTCCAGTATCTATCATCTGCAGAGCGATAAACAGTCTTCTTGATGCCAGAGAAGTTGGGATGAAGATTTTCGAAGACTACGCCAGCTCATGGTTTTGGATTTTAATGTAAGTTATGCCACACACAGATGAATAACCTTTACAGTGAACATGAGTTGTGTGAGCTAGGTTGTAATAACATGATCTGTTCAGTTTTTCAGCTTGTTCAATCGATAAGGTCCTATGTAGAACGAATAAAAATGCCTACATTACTTCTGTGTTAGTCTCACTACACTGGCTTCCAGTGCTATGGAGAACTACATTCAGGTTCTGACTGCTAAGGCAGTTTTTGTATCAAAAAGTCCAAAGTGTCACTGATTGTGCTGTAACTGGGGAAAAAACACAGTATTGTGCAAGATGATAACGGTCACTGGTGTTAAAACGTGGATCAGGCCAGATGACTCAGGAAACCTGTGTGCATGTGTGCGGTGTCTCCTCAGAGGCCTGTTCATCGCCATGGTGGTGAGCCTGGTCTTCATCCTGCTCCTGCGCTTCACTGCGGGGGTGCTTCTCTGGCTCATCATCTTCGGAGTCATTGGAGTTATCGGATACGGTCAGTTTGACTCTGACACAGCTCTGTGCCACAGCCGCCGCATGTTTTAACAACTCTAGATCGGGGGGGTCATGGAGCTAATCATTTGCCTATTGCAGTTCTCTGTAGTTCCTGTTAAACTGATGTGTGGCAAAGGCGTGCAGATGAAATAGGCCCCCCTTCAAAATAAGATTCTCATCTTTTTGACAAGTACTGCCTTTTCTGAAAAAGAAATCTGTAGCTTGTAAACCACCTTTTGTCAAGGCATCTCAAAGCATTGCACAACTAATGCCTGGGGGAAAAACTGAATGTGGAAACAAGTTGCTCATTGGTGTCTCCCTCCTCAGCCTTGCTGGACCTGGTGTTAGTTTAGTAAGGGGGGAATAGGATCAGTGCCTTTTCTTTAGAGTTCCTGGCACCTTAGTCCGTTACTGTCGAGTACAGTAGATGTGTTGTATATGCAAATAAAGGGACAAGCTATCATGCCAATAACCAGTAATCCAGTGTATATATAGTCAGGAAAACCCTTGGTTTAAAACCCATATAGTCCTTACATCTAATGTTCTCATGTGCAACTGTAGCTGTTTCTCTGTAGACGTCGTGATCATTACGCCATGACTTTACTGTACATGAGTGCTGCTTGTCTCTTCATGGGTCGGTGTGAATGGGATGTAATTGCATGCAGGAATCTGGCACTGCTTCTGGGAGTACAACACCCTGAGAGGGAAGCCTGGCGCTGACGTTACCATCTCTGACATCGGCTTCCAGACAGACTTCACCGTCTACCTGAAACTCACCCAGTCCTGGCTCATTTTCAGTGAGTGTGCCGGAGACATACATCCGTGCGTGGAGCCTAAAGGCCTGTGTTCATTACTAAAATAAAGAAAATGGGCAGAATTGCACATAAAAACATTTAACCACAAGCAAAAATGTCACCTGTTTTCAATATTGTTAGGAATAGGGCAGTATCTGCTGACCTGCATTTCGTCTTTGAATATTATTTGAATAGTGTGTAGAGGAGAGAGAGATCCCTTAGTTCTTAATCAGACTAGTACCGTCTCATTACTGTCTAATGATAAACGTCTTGGGTTTTTAGCGTTCAAGGAACTCAGTGGGGTTTTGACTAAGACACACTTTGTTCTCACTTGTCATGCAAAGTGGTAACAAAAACTCAAAATACACAAAGGCTTTTGATCATAGTGGTTGGACAACTTAGTGGTACTAAGAAAACTCCAGCTCTCTCCGAGTGCGGGTTTGAGCTCTGCGCTCCAGACACCAGTAGTTTGAGGCGGGGTCGTGTTAGCAGACAAGTGGGTTGGGGTTTCCCCCAGGAAATAGTGCCACTGGTGCAGAGTGGGCATTAATCAGCCAGGGTCTTCTGAGCTTTCAGGGAGAATGTGGGTCTCTGCAGGCTTACAGTGACATCAGGAAGTAACATGGAACTCCTCCTGTTAGCTCTAACTCTCCCGTTAGTTTTGAATCCTGCGATTCCAAATTGCGCGGGCATACAGTAAAAATAAAGAACTTTTGTTTCCATGTTAAGATTTCTGGGAATTTCTGTTCATTCATATCTTTCCAACTGCATCTCTCCACAAAGACGGCTCTGTTTCCTGTTTGTTTCTCCTCTGCATTGTCTGTTTTGTTCAGACGGTCTGAGCAGGCCGAAGAAATCCTGTACTCCTTTCTTTCCACTGTGCCCGAAAGCTGAGGTCCAAACAGAGTGATAGGAAGGCCAGACAATGGCTTCAGCTGATGAAAGCGAAGCTCTTGATCTCCATTTCCCAGAGTGCCGCAGCACTGACAAGACCGAGCCTCGCAATGGAGCAGTTTTAATCCCTGCCATCCCAAGCCAGCAAATGATTTTTGTCTAATAAGCCGTTAGTTGCTGAGGGCTTGTCAATTTCAGGAGCCCCTGTCAAAAGGTTAATGAATCTGCTTTAGTCAAATAAGCAAGTGGTAAATCTCTTAATCGCTGTGACAACATCTGCTGAAGTGACAAGTCTCACAAAGAGGTTCTGAACAACCCCATAATTATCCCAGTCGTGTGGCCAAGACCAATATCAGAGAGCTGAACCCTGAAAGCTGTCTACCTAATAAGCAGTAAACTCTAGTGGGATAGGTAGTCACAAGGACGGACTGTGGCAGGATTGTTCATGTTACTGGTAGATGTGCACTTTAATGAACTGTCCACCCACACCGCACAGGGATATGACATCCCTGTATCTCAGACACGAGGCTTTTAAAAAATCATCCTGCTGTCTTTGAAGCACTGAGCCAGCTGTGTCTCTCCACTAAATAAACCTGCACTGAAAATAATCCCTTGCACAGAATCTGAATATTGTAGAGCACATCTGAATCCTGGGAGACTGCTCACTCTGAGAACTTTAGCCTTATTCATGGTTTTTTTTTTTGTGATATGAAGTGCCCTTCACCATGACTTAATATTCTCTCTTTCTTTTGTAGTGGTGTTTCTCTGCATCGTCGAAGTGATAATAATTTTGGTGCTAATATTCTTGAGGAACAGAGTCCGCATTGCAATTGCTTTGCTCAGAGAAGGAAGCAAGTAAGTTCTTTTCTCCACTTTTAGATGACAAGATTAACCTCATAAAAACTGAATCAGGCAAACGGAACATTTCTTATGCGCCTGCATGTCACATGCATTTTGCATAGGAGCATGGGTACTGCCTTTTGAATAAAGAATGTTTCACAAAGCCCAGTGTCCCTATTGTGATAGGAGGACCTTTTGCATTTGAAAATTGTATCTTATTTGACCCTGGGCTAGAAGTGAACTCTAGAATGGCTAGGTAACATTTGCTTACTCAAGTAATGGAAGTCTGTGATCCAGTTTAATACAGTATATCGCTGGCGGTTCACAGTGGTTCATCACAGTGTGGGGAAGGCCGCTAACTCAGTGCTTCTCCGTTACCTTCCAGGGCCATCGGATACATCATGTCGACTCTCTTCTATCCCATCATCACCTTATTCCTCATCGCTGTCTGCATCTCCTACTGGGCTGTTACAGCTGTGTATCCTCTTGCAGCCAGAGACACATGGCATTATGGTCCTTTTGTTGACTTACTGTATGTGCTATTCATTTTTTCAGCTCTCCTCTGATTCTACTGTGCCTTAATAGAACAACCCAAGAAGTGAGGGAGCGAGTCTGAGATGGTGCTCAGCATGAACAGGCACTCTAGAATTGATAGAAAGTGATTGGCGGGTTTTCTGAACAAGAGAAAGAGAATGCCGCTGTTTGAGGTGAAACTCATGGAGAAGCAGAGTGTGCAAATGTTTGTAAACTGGGGACTTACAGTAAATACGATGAGTGCAAGGGTGTCACCGGTAGATGGCGCTGTTTGATAAACTTTGATAGGCCAAACACATATAAAGTATAACTAAGACCTTTAGGATTGTTTTATATTTGTTTCCATTATAAGATGATCAGCTCTGTGCATGTCAGGTGCTGTTTCAGGCTTAAGTGTTGCATCTCTGTACTGCGGTATCTCACCTTGACCTGCGCTGTTGGAAGCTTCCTGGCCTCCTCAGGCGAGCCGGTCTACAAAGTGATGCCCGCACAACCCAACTGCATGTATGCCAACCTCACCTGTAACCCGGAAGTAAGTTTTTCACCTCTTTCCTCAGGTTTTGCTGCTGTCCCACTACAGGATATGGAGTCTATCCAATGTAAACCTCTATAGCAATTCCGGTCCTGGTGACCCTCACGCCTGTTGGCTTTATTTCTAGATGAGCCCTCCGTTACACAGTCAAGCCCTTAACGACTATAATAATAATTATAATAATTTGAACTGTTGTTCCCAGCTCTTAAACATGTTGGGGCTTAGTTGTGTTTTGTAAGTGAAATAAAGTCCCAAACTTGTTACTAGATACAAAATGCAAATATTCAGTTGATTCAACTTCCTAGATCAAGTCAGGCGTCAGGTGTTGTGGGTCAACAGGACCAGGACTGGGGGCCACTGGCCACTGGCCTGCTCTTACCAGGGACAGCAAACTGCTCTCGCTGGGCCCTGTCACTGGAGCCACAAGTGAGAGTGCCGCCCATGCAGTCTTGTCAATTACAGTTTTAGATAAGGAGGAGGAACAGACGGCATCATTCATTTGGGGGCACGAAAAGTGGGTGATGTCCTGTGATCCAGCTGCTCTTAATAGGGAGACAAACCTGAGCTTAAAGGACATGTACGATCCCTAATATTTCTCATAAAAACCGTACATTTTCCAAGATATTTTCAAATTCAGTCTAAGTCCTTGATTCGTAGATTCCTCCTGCGGGCACACATCTCCCGGTATTACTGTGCCTGACAGGGTCTTTTCCACAGGGAGTCCTTGCTCTGTTCCGCGTCTTTCGATGGCAGCAGTTGGCACGGGCCCTAACCATACACATGCGTGTGTGTGTGTGTGCATGCGTGTGCTTGCATTCCAGATCTTCAATAAAACGAACGTCACCAAGGTGTGCCCGGGCTCACAGTGCACCTTTGCCTTCTACGGCGGCGAGAGCCTCTACCACAAGTACATCCTGGTGCTGCAGCTGTGCAACCTGCTGGTGTTCCTGTGGCTGGTGAACTTCGTCATCGCCCTGGGCCAGTGCACCCTCGCGGGCGCCTTCGCCTCCTACTACTGGGCCCTGAGGAAGCCAGCTGACATCCCGGCCTGCCCACTCTTCTCCTCCTTCGGCAGAGCAATAAGGTACCGCCTGCCCCATCCCTGCCAGCCATAGCGCCCAGGCTTTACTGTAGAGCCAGCCAGAGTCCCCACGTGTCCGATGCAAAGCACAGCACACCTGCATTTGTTTGCTGGTGTAGGAGACACACCAGAAACCTGTTTCTAGCTCCTCTACCAGTTCCTCCCAGAGTACCGTTTTCCTCCCAGAGTACCGTTTTCCCCAACGCTGCCTTCCTTATTTGTCTTTTAAACCAACGCCTACAGCTTTATTCCGGTGCGTGCGTTTCTTCCCCCTAGCCATCCAAGCACGATAACCAAGGCTGAACCTGGCCTGGCCTGTTCTGGGATGGGAGACCTCCAGAAGTAAACAGTGTTGCCGCTGTGGGTGGGGGTGTTGGACCAGTAGGTGGCACTCTTACCTCAGGACCATCATTTCCAAATGTCCCAGTATGGTCGCTGGTCACACTGTGCTGCAGGAGCTGCTATACTTTGGATGAAGCTTGAAACCGAGATCCTCGCTGTTCGGTCTTTTGAGGTCCCACATGCAGCGATGTTAATCCTGGAATCCTGGGTAAATTGCACTTTGTATTTGAACAGTACAGCTGCCCTAAAGTTCCCCCTTAATTCAACTTCTGAAGCAGTTTCTCACATCTCCACCTGATCGGGCGTTTAGTGGGGCAGCTGGTGCAGAATGACTGCCACAAGTTACCCAGGTGGGGGGAGCACTTCAGTGACAGATGATAATAATGTGATAATGTTTCTTTATTAGCCCTATACAATTTCTTGCATTAGGAATTCGTCTTTTCGCATACCCCAGCTTTTCTCCATGGAGACAGAGACACACAGACAGGGAGAGAAGATATATCCATAGGATATGTTTGTGGATACCTGTATCTGAAGAGCTTTGAGAGCTCCTTTAGGATGAAAAGCGATAAATAAATACGAGGTATTATTGTTATTCAGATTTATTTTGTCCCAGCCATCTATCTCTGTTTCACTCATACTCTTTTCAGTGTTCCGCTGTGAGACCATTCCCAGTTTCCTTTGTACAGCATGTCAGCCCCAGCTGCAGCAGAGGTTTGTGAGATACAGACTGGAGGGTAATGCAGGTGAAACCAGTGAGAAACAGCCCCCAGGTAAAAAGCTGGGGGGGTATCCAGACTAGAGTGCAAGCTCTTGAGTGCCCTCTTGTGTCCATGTGGTGAACTGTTCTTTGTCAGAGCTGTGGGCTGTGAGGATCATCGACGCAAAATAATAAGCGATCGATCCCTGTTTTTTTTTTTTTTTATCGGATTTCCAGAAAAATGCTGAATGAAAATGCCCGTGGCAGGGTTACCCTTTGTGTTTCTACTCGAGCCGGCAAGTGTTAAGGCTGCATTTCTCAGCTGGTAAGCACCACAAGAGAGCTGGGCGCCTTCAGACACTTACAGGTGTGCTGTGTAATTTTGAAAAAGGCCACATAGCGGGGAAAAATAAAAAAAAATGGGTAAAATCTTGTTTATACTTGCTACATAGAGTAGTTGTGTGGAGTAACCAAATTGGTGAACCAAACTGTTGTTTCCCCTTTGGTAGATAAACATAAGACAGAAAACTCGTTCTTAGGCTTGTGCAGGTGAAACTTTTGGAGGGGGCAAGTTATGTTCTTCAGGTTTGACTGACATGAAAAACAAAAACTGAGAATTTCTGATTGCAGCAGAATAATAGGTCTGTGTGTCTGTGTCATCACGTCCCGCCAGTATAAAGTGTTTATGTGCTTCAGGCCCACTCGGACTCGATGCTGAAATAAGGTTTATTTATAATAGTAATAATAATATGCTCTGGAGAGTGATGTGAGTGGGGAGACGGGAGGTGTGCTGAAGAGGCTGAGAAAGATTGTGTTAAAGTAAACGCTGTGTTTACTTCCTCTCCAAAGTGCTTTGAGTAGCCAGTAGTGGTTCAACACTTTTGTGCTTGTGTTTGTCCCAGATATCACACAGGCTCTCTGGCGTTTGGCTCCCTGATTCTGGCCATTGTCCAGCTGATCCGAATCGTCCTGGAGTACCTGGATCACAAGATCAAAGGTCTGCCTTGTTCTGGCTTACTCATTCCACATGTACAGGATACGAAAAAAAAGAGATGACCGAGCGAGAAGATACTAGCAAAACGATCAAGTCAAAAGTTAAAAGTGCTTTCTTTTAAAAAAAGGTTATTTTCCTTGATCAAACACAAATGCTAACTAATTCCAGCACAAGCATGGAACAAAGGCTTTATTAACAGTACTGGACTTTGTTAATATTCGTTGTTTTTTCGGGAATAAATACTTAGGAGTTCGGCTCCTGTGTCCTTCGAAGTGAGATCAATAATCAAGCGATCATTCTGCAATATCACCCTGACTCAATAAATTGTGGATATTTTTCAGGTGCGCAGAACAGCTTTGCCAGATTCCTCCTGTGCTGTCTAAAATGCTGCTTCTGGTGTTTGGAGCATTTCATTAAATTCATGAACAGGAACGCATACATAATGGTGAGTGGGAAGAGTCATTAATGTCACATTGAAGGCTCACATGGGGGCTATCATTAGCATTTTAGATTTTCTTCAGCAAAGAGGGAAAGGCTTGTTTCAAACCGCAGGGGGGGAGATAAAGTTCAAGGTGTCTGGAGGCCTTGTACGGAGCAGGGCTAGGACAAACAGTGGAGTGTTAGACTTCTTCTTTGTCTGTTCTTCCCAAGGAGCCTCACCTGCCTTTCCTCAAATTGAGGGAAAGAATAATTTAACTAATTAAAACGTTCTAGTTATCACACATGGATCACGGGTGATTCTATTAAAAAAGTAGAATTCTCCCCAGTCCTTGTTTTTTTGGTAGTTGCAGCTTTCTCTCCCATACAGGCAGAAAATGAAATCAAATTGTTACTTCCAGTATATAATACAGGAGATAAATGGAAGCATTTCTGCTCAACTTTGTTTTTTCTGAAGCTCATATTGAGGACAGTGTTTCACCTCTGAAAAGAGAGTTTTTGTGCTAATCCTTTAGCCTCTGTTTCATAAGTCTCTACACAAGCATAGTAATAAAAAAATACAAAGTGCCTGGATCTATTTGTACTCGCATATATTTGTTTATGTCTGAGATTCGTCCCTGCATGTGTGTCCTGCATTGGCTGGTGTTTTGCACAAGGAAAGGCTCACAGAATTTGTGCCTGTAATGTAAGGCTGTATAATGGTTGTTCATATGTAAAATGGTTTTGTTTTGTTCTCTAAAATAAAATTAAAAATTAAAAAAGGAAAAGGCTCACAGGTGCTGCAGGCTTTACTGGGAATAAAGTGCTTTCTGACAAGGTACAGTTGGATGTTCACGTATAAATATCTGAAGAGAACTGTGCCAGCAAGTTAAATAGGATCCCACAGAGATTTAGTTCACACTGAAAAGCAAAAGGAAAAGTAAAAGACGTCTGCCAATGTTTCGTTATTTAAATTTTTTAATTTCCAACATGGAATTTATGAATCAGGTTTGTGGTTTTTCATTTCAGATTGCGGTATACGGCAAAAATTTCTGCACATCAGCCAAAGAGGCTTTCTTTTTGTTGATGAGGAATGTCGTCAGGTAAGATCGTTTTCTTGTTTATTCAACCAGAGAAGTACATTGCGCACAAACTTGTTTCCGAGAGAGTGCTGCAGGAGCAATCTGAGTGAATACTCTTCTCAAGAGCGCAAGAGCTGTCTCACCTAGGATTAGGAGCCACTGTCTTCCAGTCAGGAGACACTCGGACCTGAGCACTGCTCTGCACTGATGCCTCAGATCTGGCCAAGCCCATCTGTGGACACCTGTGTGCGTGGACAGCTAACTCAGTGTGTGTGATCTATCCCTGCTTTCTTTTCAACAGAGTTGCAGTATTAGATGAGGTCACAGACTTTTTGCTCTTCCTGGGGAAAGTTCTAATTGCAGGAAGTGTTGGTGAGTTTTGTCCTATACAAGTTTCCTAGACAAGTGTTTTCTGAAGACACAATTGAGTAGACCTTGAGTAAAATCACAGATTAAATATTGAGGTGGCATTGCATTCTTATCTAACTAGATCTTTTTGAAAAATATCAGCTGTGGTCATTGGTGAATATCTATGAATGGCAGTATAAAGGTAATTAAACTACAGTGACTTGAGTTTATGCTAACAGGTATTAAAATGCAACAATGAGCACAGGAAACAATAGCATTTGTTGTGCCTCTCCGTATACATTTTGTGTTCCTGATGTTCCTGAACCAGAGAGTGCTCTTCTATGCTTTTCCAAAAGGCTTATGATAGACTCACACTGTTAAGATGTAAAAACTTTTGTTTTGTAGGTGTACTTGCCTTCTTTTTCTTCACACATAAAATACCTATATTTGAAGGAGAAGTGCCATCGCTGAACTATTACTGGGTGCCACTGCTGGTGAGTAAAGCACTCGATGGCTCATTCATAATGGCAGTGGGGAGGAAACGCCAAACTCCAGATAAAGCAATTCATGGTCCACTTCAGTCCATCCCTGCCATCTGCTCTGCTTTGAGGTCCACATGGGAACAGGAGCCAGTAGGAGCCTGTTTGGTCCTTGTAATCAGAGTTCAGGGAGATCAGACTTAGAAGGTCTTCTCATCAAGATGAAATATACAATTTTGTGTTTAAAACAAAGTAGGGGTGTCCTGTCTGAGTTTGGGAAGATTGATGTATGTGTGTCTTCTGGTTTTCTAGTTTTCTTTAAAGCAACCTGATGTTCACTTGGTCCAAATAAGGCAGTAACAGGCTGATGTGAGTTTTTTACATCTCATCTGGAATGAAAACCTCTGAGCATACTGGCCATACACAATCAGGACTGAACCACCGTGATATACCCTGCCTGCAAGTGATTTTATCTGCTTATCCAAAGATTTTGTGCTGCTGCTCCAAAAACATTCAGTGTTCAGAAACCCCGAGGCCAAAAAATGCCCCCAAAAAAGCAGCCTTAGCCTTTAGCTTTAGGTAAAGATCTGAGATTTAGAAGAAAGGTTCTTTTAATGTAGTGGATCTTGTGCATGGAGACTGACAATTGAAAAAATAATCCCTTCAAACCAATCAGGTTGATCTGTGTTTCTTTTTGCCCCTGTGCAGACAGTGATATTTGGCTCCTATCTGATTGCACATGGCTTTTTCAGCGTCTATGCAATGTGTGTGGACACCCTCTTCCTGTGTTTCTGTGAGTACAGATCATTAGTTATTTTACCGAGTTATCATTGTCGTGCGTTATCAGTGCGCTATGTGCAGCTCTGTTTTCAAGAACAAGCAAAATGCTTCTCGTCACTTGGACAATAACCAGAATGACTGGTTTCCCCCCAGATGTTTAGCTTTATACTTGACATCCTTCACCCAGAATTATTTGTCTGGGTAACTATTGTACTGTTGTTCAGCTTTTAAGATGATAAATGAATGTTTTTTATCACGTTAGAAGCTATTCTTGATATGGCTGTGGAAAAAATGTGTTTAACATCTTTGCTCAGAGTGGCTGTCCCTGCTGTTTGTTCACGTCTTAAATCTTAATGGCTTCTAGTTCAGGGAAATCTAACGATCGAAAGTCACTATCCTGTGTTGCTGGTATGTCCTTTAGGGGTCTCAGACTCTATTCATGGGTGGCCTAGTGTATTCTAATCCTTTTTTCCCCCAAAACCCTAGGATTTTGTTCCCAGTTAAACTGTATAAATTTAATAGCCATGTTGGAGTTTTCTTAAGGCCTTTTACAGTTATTTAGTCCACACATTCTTTCCAGGTGGTTTCCTCCAACACACCTCAGAGTCTGGTCACCAGTAAAACCGCTGTGCAGGCAATGAAATTACTGTACAGCAACTACTGTATAGAACGGAGAGCTCACGCGGACAAAGATCAGATAAGACTAGAGCACCCCGAGAGCGAGTCTGAGGTCCCCCGTTATCCACCCTGCTTTTGCTGGGAGGAACCACTGGATCAGGCTCTCACATGTCGCCGTGCTGCTCTCGCTGTGTTGGTGTCAACCCTGATCCTCCTGTCGGCGCTGGGCTTTGGGATCGCCTAACTCCTGTCCCTCTCGTTTCCCTCTTCTCTCTTCCGGTGGCCGGGAATGTGCTGGTTTCTCTGTGGGGGACCCCGCGTTAGGTGAAGACCTTGAGAGAAATGACGGAACGCCCTCTAAGCCTTACTTCATGTCTCCCGGCTTGCACAGAATCCTGGGGAAAAACGAGCAAAGCCCCAAAAAGGCTACAGGCTAACTGCTTCTATTGCAAGGCTTTACCTGAAATAGCTTTACTTACAGTATTTGTGATCTTAGCATGCTTTAAGTAACTTGTGGCTGAGACTTGGCTGTGCTGTTCATTGGCTGAATTTAATGTTAATATGAACTAGCAGGAGCCGGTTGTAAATGGACAGCTCCACTTGGAGAAATATATGGCTCTATTCATGTCTTATCTTTCTGGGGTGCTGATACTTTTGCCTTTTTATGTACTCCATTGTCATCGACAGACTACACTCCGCACTGCTTGCTGCTGGGATATATGCCTTGCCTTAATAGCAGCAATTACCAAATCTGGGTGTTTCTCGCCGTCTGCAGGTTTTTGTTTCAGCTGAGCCCTTGATTTAATTGAACTCCCAATTGAATTGATTTACTAATGACGCTTTTATGAATTGTTTTCAGTTCTGCGACTGTTACTTTACTGCTAAGAAATCATAAATGGCTTGGAAACGTCACCTTTTCCTTCAGGAGCAGCATGGTTTAAGAGATCTAATCAATCAGATTTAGGGTTCAATTAAGCAAGTGCAGGTCCAGCTGATTGAAAGCCAGCAAGATACTAGGGTTGGGAGGAATAGAACGAGGGAGATCTGATTAGTATTCTTAATTGTGGGACAAAGTTGGGAATTGTGGGTAAGGACCCCATGGAATTTAATACACAAATGCAAATGAACACATCTGTGTTCAATCAAGAGGTAGAGGCAGGGGAGACGGTGATGCAACGGCATAGCCTAGTTTAGTGTAGTTTGAAGAGGCTGGAGCTTGTGGCATCAGATAAGACACCAACCTGTCTTAGCAAAGCAGTATTGAAATCCAAATATCCAAATACTGTACCGAGTTCCAGTAAGGAAGAAAAAGGTCAGTTAGCTGCTGAATCTTATATTTTAGAAGTTAAGCAATTCATTGTAATATAGACCTGTACTTTGTTTAGCATTAAGGGCTTTCAAAAAGTTATTTTTTGCAAGGGATGTTTTGTCATTTGTAGTTGACCGTGTAATCACCTGTATACAACTAGTGTAAAGCTAAATTTTGGTTGCATATTTCCTTTTATTACTATATTAGCTAGGAATACTGTACATTTCAGGTTTACAGATACATTATTTTTGACAAAAACCCTTATTTCACCTAAAACGTTAGTGCCAGCTGGCAGATTACCTATGGTCTTTAGTTGAGACATAAATGTTTAAGCCAGTGCAAAGCATAAGATCTGAATAGAGCCTGCTGTGTTTCAGGAATTGACTAATAGACAAACTGCATTTTCTAGTTAATGTGCCTAGGTAAGAAAAACTTTTTGGATCTAACGCTGAACACCTTTTTGAATACAGTTTATAAAAGGATGTCAAAGCCATTTTTGGTAATTTTGTACTAGAGTGGTACATAAAAAAGTGCTACATTTTTATAACACTATTATATACTTGTTTTTTTGTAAGTTTTTTTTTGGGGGGGTATTTAAAGTCTTTGTAATAGGGTGAAATTTCTTTTGTAAAAATGGAGTGAAAATGTGAACAATTTTTTTAAAATAAATTCCACCACTTTAAAACTGGTGCTGCAGTTCAGGACCCTCATGACTCCACCATTCTCCAGCAGCCTTGTCACTTGTGATGGTACACCACTGTATTCCAGATGGCTCACTGGGGCACCTAGAGATAACACTGTAGGATTCAGTTAGATCCTAATTGAGGATGCTGTCGATCCTTCTGGTTATAAGTGAACGTGGCCATCTTCAAACCCGGGGAAGGCCTTCTTCCAGTTTCTCCATTCTCAGGGGCATGGGGTCAGTCATTGCTCCCATGTCCATCACATGTCCAGGATCAGGATCCACCTGTCTGGGCAGGCTGGGGTCTTTCCCAGACTATATTGAACTCGAGAAGGTTTTCCATCCTATGCCCTCTGTAATCTTTTGCACACAAACATGCATCTATACATATAGGTGTCCCTTCTTCTCTCACACCGACTATTATAAGTGTTGAAACATCCATGAAAAGTGAACAAAAATGGCCTTATCTCCTACCAGACACAAATTTAACATGATATAGGATCAAGTGAGTGGGGCCGCTAACCTAACTTGACCAGGCAAACACTCCAGCTGTATATTTTCATAGATCAGCCTATTCCAAATCTGGGACTTTCCCCAGGAGGCATAATGGCAAGACAGGTGGTTTCTTCCTCGTTCCTGCTGTAATCTCCTTGCCTTCCTATTCCCCAGTGGAAGACCTGGAGAGAAACGATGGGTCTCCAGCCAGGCCCTATCACATGAGCAGCTCTTTAAAGAAGATCCTGAACAAATTCAATAAAAGAAGAAAGCTCAGCAGTCCTTAAAATATGTCCTGGAAAAGGTTTCTACTAAAACACAAGACTTCCTGCCTTACAAGGAAGATTATATATATATATTTTGTATGGCACTTGTAATTCCTGGGACAAATTACACACACCTGCCAGTAATTTCACACACCAGTTTATGCAATCTACAAAACCATGCAATTATATCAAAGGAAACTTATTCTATCCATGCACCGTCATTGGTATTTATACTGTTTTAGGGTGATGTCACGTACCCAATAGCTGCTGCTATTGTGGTTGAAAATTCACAGTATATTTGTTTTCTACATAGTATGTTTCTGCAAAAAAAGCTTGGATTTTTATGTATACTACCATCATTGTACACTATGTACACTACCACCATTACTAACCTATTTATACACAACAAGCATACAAGCCATCCAACAGGAGCCATTTGTCTCTGGGATACAATTTCAACTATATGACACTGGGAAGGATACAATAAGGGACTGCCAAAATACTGACAGTTAATATTTCATACACCTTGACAAATCATTAAGCCACTTTGGTGATGACTTAAAGTGAGTAAAGTGCACATTTATAGACGTGATTAGAATTATCTGAACAAACATTCACTAATCAATTACACATTCTTTCCCTTGAAGTATATCGGCTCTTTCATATTTTAAATGTCCACTAGGTGGAGCTGTAAACTCAATTGATCACCTGAGCGCTTGAACTACCGCTCCGCTGCACAGAAAGAAGCCCACTATTCCAAAGCATAGCTTTAACCTCGATGAATAAATGATTGGGAAGAGATTTAGTTACGCATACTGCTGTATGTTCAGCCCATTACAGAATTTAAAATCCTTCAGCAAAGAGCTGCTTAAGACTGGTTGAGCTAGTTACTGCTTACAGGTCTTGGTACAATCCTGGAACATCTAAAGTTGGTCATGTTTTTTAAAGCTTTAAAAAAATGGAGTTTTCATCCAGGCTTTTAAAACGCACCTTAACCTGAATAACATTACATGGGCGCCATGAAATTACATTGCAACCCAGTAGCAAATGTCTGCAGTGACTGCTTTGTTAAACCATACTACACTGTTGAGGCAAGTGTAACAACAACTTAAGGAATGTACTATTAATGGGATTCTACCGTTAATCCTCTCTATAAACATTACAGAGCATCATACCAAAGAATGGTAATGTATTTGCAAAGAATAACTAAATTGTTTAGGCAGACCTGAGAAATATTTGATGCGTCACATTGTGGACTTCTGTGCTTTCCACTTATTTGCCAACTGCAGGTTTTGAACAATAGTTTGCAGAAGCCTTTAGTAAGTCCGCTTTCTAAAAAGCGTTTCTGAAATACAGTATACTGAATTTCCATTGTGGAAATCATAATGAGTGGTGCACGTACATTCTGCCGAGTGCTGCTTGTGGTTGCAGAGAAATTAATGGGCTGTAGATCCAAGACAAAAACGGATTCCACAGGGCTGCACCAGTGGTGCAGTATAACCTTCAGCAACAGTGACATGCACAGACTTGCACTTGCCATTTCAAGAGAGAAATGTTTGTATTGGTATAAAGGTTTGGGTAGATGTTACATTTAACATCTTAACATTGTTGAAATGTGAAATTCTTAAAACTACAGAGCGGGGGGGGGTCAACCAATTGATGATTCAAATGCAACTGTAAATAGACGTTTCTCTTAACTGCTTGAAGAACGTTGCTCACACTCCCAAACTGGTGCATTGATACTTGAGTGCCTGGTCTTGACCATGTCATTGGCCTGTGAAAAGTCTGAAAAACTATTTCTAACATCCTCGTTGGCCAAGTTTTTTTTTTTTTTTTTACCCATTCTGTCCATCATACGAGCTCTGAAGTTTTTTTACCAAGGCAAGATCTAAATGAAAGGATAGATGGATTATACTGTACATCAAGCCTCCCAGAGGAAAAATAACTTTTGGTTAACCACATTCGGCAAGTAGTCACAAGTACAACTTTCTTCAATACACTTGCAGAAAGGTTTCCGATACTTAAAAGCTTTACTGTCCTGCACCCCAAAGCTGGGGAAATACATTATCAGAGTTTAAACCATTACCGCTGTCCATGTCTGTCCTGACTATTGCAGTCTGGACAGTACACGCACCCCCCTTACAAAAGGCTGGACAATACCCAAGACCTTGGCCCCTTCAGGGATTAGTTTAAGAGAAGCACAAATCTGACCCAAAATACTGTACATCCCCAGAAAAGTTTTTCAACCAAAAGTACAATTTATGTGGAGTAGTCCATTTTAGCATTGAGACTTCCTTGTGGTTTCAGAAGTTCAGCACTTACATATGTTGTGCCTCTCACTAGTTCTGAGAGAAAGCAACAAATTATTCCATTAAAATACTAAAACGTAATAAATTAACACATTTAAAAATTAAGAGGTCTCCACAGGACAAACGGGTAAAAAAAAAAAACTCTGGTTCAACAAGCATGCTAGATAGACCTCTTTTCTGATTTTCAAGGTATAAGGTAGAGAACTGCTGCAAGAAAATTGCTCTTCCCATTTTAAAAGAATCAGTTTTTCAAAAGCCCAAAATTAACAACCTTTAAAGGAATTCAAATCATCTCCCAGTCCTGGGCTAAAAGGCACCACATGCACTGCTCAAAAGAGACCAAAAAACTCCATGCAAACACAGATCCAGACAGTTTCCACAATGAATCTTTTAGATTTATTTTAAAACAAAGTGCTCAGTCACATACAGGAAATAAATAATAGAACATGAATTATTCAACCATATATATTAAAAAGTTTTACAGATACCAGTTTTACGACAAGAAATCGAGATTGTTGGTGCCAGCGGCCCTCTCGGGAGTTCTTGTGGCACTCGACTAACAATGGAAGGCATTTGCATATGTTTGTGTAACATACAGCTTTCTAAACGGTAAGGATCCATCATGCATTTCCACATGGTTCCGACCTGAATATGGAGCAGGGCTTCTCCTGCAGAGTAACTGGATCAGGCATGGCTAATGGGCAGCTGTGCCATGGAGTGAGGCAGCAAGGGCGGAAAGACCAGGGATGACGGAGAATGAGCTGTGAAGACAGAACCGGGGCGAGTCCATCAGTCCCTCAGTTTGCACAAAGACCCAAAGCACCTCGGCTGCGCCGCAGAAACAACCCCACTGGCTGCCTTGCTCCCGGGCACCCTGGGAAGCCACCATCTGCGTGTCAGCTCAGAGGAAAATAACCACCACCGTGCACAAATGAAGCACTCCACATTTAAACCTCCCCCCCCAAAAACAATCCAGCTTGTTTGTTAAAATAACCCACCAGTTCCTTTGCACTTACAAGAAGGGGGTGCACGGGCCTGTAAAAGCCATCTTCCCGGCTCAGATCCTATTTTGGGCCCAGGCAGCCGAAGTACTGGGTTCCACATTGCTTTTCGACTACAGCTTTTCAGAACACCCATTTCACATGGATGACATCAGTGTTCCTCCATAAAATAAATGTGCTTGTGGTGTTCTAGCAGAAGGGCGTGAACCCCCACCCCCACACACACACCTCAAAGAGGTTAGCTCAAATATTGTGCGGCCGCAAAGCGTATACAAAAGGGCCACGCTGATCCCCCAGGGCACCTCTTGCCCTGCTCTTACTGCCAGACTGGTATAGGAAACCACGATCCGCACAACCTGTTCTACTCACCATCCATATAGGAGTGCAAAGCAGTCAGCATAGGGCCATCTGGCGGGACATAGGCTGAGTACTGCAGTTCCTCCATCATCGGAGGAGAGAGGCGGGAGGGCTGCATTGTGGACACCGGGGCTGTGGAAGAATGGTTAGGGCTCACATGCTTCTTGTGACGAGCTCTACAGTTCTGGAACCAAACCTAGAAAGCAAACAAGTCCAGATTAATAATATAAAAAAAAACAGGATAATCGTGGCAACACGACGCCGCCCCCCCCCCAACCCAGCCGCACGGAGAAGATATCAAAAGACTCGTTCGAGAACAGCGAAAGCATCCGCTACAAAGCCGATACAAAAACAAAAGGCCTTTGTGAGCGGTTTTTTTTGGGAAAGAGGCATTGTGCACCGCGAACTTGCGGGGTGAAAACGTGACCACTTGAGAGAGTGAGAGAGAAAGAAACGGCACTTCAAAGCTGTTATTGTCCAAGACAAAGCCATGAAGAAATTTCATCAGCTCATTCCTATTTTTAATTTGTGGAAATGCATTTTACCACTTTCATTCCTCCCCCCCCAATTCCAAAAAAGATGAGCATTATTTTACTTTAGCTTTATTAAAAAAGTATTTTGCAATTGATGCATCACTATACAATAACAAAAAGGAAAGTAAACAAATGACTAGCACATCATGCAGGAACCTACCTACAAGCATAGTTGTCTTATTCTAAGAAACTGACTTTTCAGTAAATGGGCAGATGACAAATTAGACTACAGTGAGAAAAACGTTATACATCTCAAGGTCAATTTCAAAGACATACAATCATTTCCAATCTCAAGCACTACTTTTTACTGCCTGAATTTAGAGCACAAGCACAGATAGATTCTAAAAAACTGAACAAATGCAGTTGGAAGAGACTTACAGCTTTAGGAAACTCAGATGAGGCCCCAGCTGAAAATGTAAAGCTCTAACAGTCAAAAGATGATAACCAGCTCAACTTCATATGCATTTTTAAAATGGTAAAATTTTAACCTGGATTTTAGGATAATCATAGCTTACGTCACCTTGGAGCAGAACATTAGTTTATCAATGTTGAAATTGTTGCACTGAGTAAGTCCGGTTTTACAAGAATAATACTTGGTGCAAACGCGATCCTTTGTTGAATGGTCCAACTTTTAAGTACAGACAAGTTTGTCACCTTGGAGTTTCATTTTTCACAAGACGTTTCGCAATGCAAGAATGTGCACGTTTGGGGAATCGGAAGGTTTTGAAGGAGCCGTGGTATGATAGATGGGCCACAGTAATTAACCCTTCATCTTTTTTTATTCCCAGCTAGCGGGAATGCAGACAGATATGCATTCTTCTTTAAATGCAACCAGTGTGAATTTAGTTCATATTTGACTTCCAAAAGCAAAGTAAGCAGTCCTAGATCCATTCATGAGGCTACACTAGTTCAATGTTTGTCCCAAACAATTTTCTTTACTTAACTGGTTATTTACCCCCTTGGCTCCTATCTCCAGTACCTCTGCCCATCTCCTCTCATTGTGCACATCTTGTGTCTTTTTCATTTGTCATCCTGTAAAGTGTTTTAAGAAGCCACCTTTTAAAAAGGTGCTATATAAAATAAAGTAATATTTTTTAAGCACTTTGAAGACTGGTGCCGTTTATTCATTACATGCCAACAATCCCCCCCCATGTCAATGCGGAGGCAAGTACAAGTGAATTTGAGGCCAAAGACCAGTCACTTTCTCGACCATGGTCTCATGACGGACAGCAAGGACGGTCCTACCTGTATTACTCGTCTACTGAGGCCTGTTCTTTCTGCTAACTTCTGAAGAGTTTGTGCATCCGGGTTGTTGTCCTGAGCAAACTGGGCTTGCATCACCTATACCAACACACACATTGACAGAGGCTTTAACCAGAGGAAACCTTGAACAAGCAAGTGGTTGGTACGACGATGGTCTACAAACAGTAGCACTCTTAGGACCGCAGTCCATGAGACCACAGGATAACAGGACAGCCCATCTTTTGAATATTACTGGAGAATTCATTGTTCGGGACTTAAGTCAGTTTCTCACATCTAGATAAAAAAAAATGTCACCCTATATTCCCCACCATCATGAAGGTGTTCTACAAACGACATCTGGAGATTTAACGATGGATTAGTAACTACCAGCAAGCACCAAGATTATTTGACAAACTTCCAACACCACCACAAGAATATCCATTTACGTGCAAATAGAAAAGGTCAGTTTCAGGGTTGTTTTTTTTTTTAACCTCTGGGACAGAGGAGCCGGCCGGGTTTACCTGGAGCTGGTCCGCTGTGAAGCTGGTCCGAGCTCTCTTGGCCGGTTTGGGTTGGTTGACTTCCTGTTCCGTCGGCATCGCTCCTTCTACATTTACACCACTTCCTGCGGTTACAAACAGTTCAGCGAGGACTGCTTTTCGGACGTGCAAAGAGCAAAACACTCAAACACTGAACAGATCCCCCTGCGTTATTTCTTTAAGTTAAGTCTTAAAAAAAAACTAGATTTTACCTCCTTGCAGCTATTTAAAAAGATCTTCTCACTCTGGTTTATTTACTCACTTGAGTCCTCTTACCATTTTCTACTGCGCGCTTGAGATTATCCAACATGCAGTCGTAATGCGTCCTGCAGAGAACTTTTTCTTCCACCAAAGCAAACTCCTCCCCAGTGGACAGCTGTCTCTTGCAGGAGAAGCAGGCGAAGCACGCCAGGTGATACACATTCCCCTTTGCTCGGCGAACCCAGTCTGTCGAGTGTATGTTTCTACCGCAGCGGGCACAACGGGTCCCATATCGCCTGCCCGGGGCAGAAAGATCGGGATTAAAACCCAACACTGGCGTGCGCAATGCCCACACAACGGCTGCCCTCAGTTGTTCAAGTCCGTACCCGAAGCCACACCAGCTCACTCTGGTCTCGGCAGCATTGAGAGACCAACTCCCCAGTGCTGGACAAGTGCTCCATCCAGGGGTGACCACCCCCCAGCAGTGCTGGTCCACCATGTACCCACAAGTACCACTGTCGTCCCATGAGCAAGACGTTCTACAGCAGAGACTTGAACCTGCCACCTCCCAGGCATGAACCCAGAGACTTACCCACTACACTGACCTAGGTAGGGTTACAATAAAAAAAAAGCATTGCTTCCTAGAACAATGTGGTAAGAAAATACCATGTACATCTCGAATTAGGCATACTACTTTTGTTATTAGTCATCGCAAGCTTATTCTCCATCATTATTTTGGAAAGCCAAACTATGGAAGCTCTAAAGAGAATTGTTCCAGCTCTAAAGTTGGAGACAAGCCAGAGTAAATATTAAACAGTTTCCCTTTGGTTTACAATATGGCTATTTTATTACAGCTGTTTGACTCTGGCATAGATGGTCTGTGCTTAGCAATTACCTAAATTTGAATTTATTGTACATGCAATTTTTAATGGTGTACTGCATGCTATTTAAGCTCGGCAATCTGGAGAATTTATGACCACACATGACAAGGCTATTGACCCACATTTGCTCTCGTCTTAGTGTTATTAAGGTCAACCAAGGCTGAATTAAAAAGGTTCTAATAACTATTATATTGGTCATTGTCACTGCAGGTAATCTCCCCATGAAACAAAACCTAGACTAAAAGAGTCAGAAAAACCGAAACGGCACGAACAGAGGTTAGAATGGGATGTAACTAGTCAAAAGCAGCCGCAAAAAAACAAGATACAGTGATTATCGTCTATGGGAATGCGGAAAACTGTGAAGACTTTAAATACCTAGAAACGCAGCTACTGTCTTGTCTACCTGAAATAGTCCAGTTTGCAGAACACTTCCTTCTCTTTGATGTAGCAGCTGGTGTGTCTGCCGAGCGACGTCCTGCACACGCTGCAAGACAAACACCTCACGTGCCAGCACAAGTCATTTACCTAAATATTGGAGGAAAACAAAGGGACTTAACAGCGCGTCTCGCGTGGATTTTTACACGCCTTTTTCCGTCCTTCTCGGCACACTTGCATTCACTATTCACTTGCACGCGTTTCACGAACAACACATTTAAAAACGAGTCAATACAAGTCTGGGGAAACCCACGTAACTTATATATATACACCCCTTTGGCGTAAGTAAAGCCATTTATGCTAGGATATTTCTGAATCATTGAAAACACCGATCAACAGTTACTTTAATACCTGCGGGATTGTGTGCAAAACCGTTTTCGACAACACCGTGAACCCCATTCGAAAGCATTGCTATTAGGTTTTAAGATTAAGCAACAAAACTCAAGCAGCAAAGGGTCATTTTGAATTCGGAACTCGCCTTTATCTTCCATAATTTCTAAGCGCAATGGAAGAAAGTAATTTTAAACCAATAAATATCGAAGAAAGAATCACCGGGTTCAATTTTCGAACAAGCGCCTGTTTTTTCTTTCCGTTTAAGACATAAAATCCATCTCTTCGCCTCCGACGTTTCCAGACTCTAACGCGCCCGGCCAGGTGTGCAAAACTTTCACAAGCGCGAGTAACGCGAAGGCGCGCGTCAAGTACACATGCGCCTCCATTGTCTTACCTTAAGCAGGTATTTATCAACTATCTCCAGACCGCAGCTGGTGCAAATGCTTTTTCCCAAAAGAGAGGCCGAAGTCATCGCCTGCGGCGAGGACGAGGGCGACAGCGAGGAGGACTGGGAACAGGAATCGTCCTCAAAGATCTCCTCGGGCGTGCTCTGAGTGACACGGCGAGAGAGCATTCATGAAATAAATCAATTAAGCACAAAATACATTCTAGGTTTCAGTCCGAACATTTAGACTCTAAACACGTTTGTCACAAAAAAAAAAACTTCCATTTTCATGAGAAGTCGCAAATAACCGGGAGGGGAATCTTATTTCATAGTAATATGTTTATGGAGAATTAGAACAGCAGCTGAAAACGACAGTTTTAAATTGCCGATTTAGCCATTGACCGCAGGTGGAAAAAGCAGCACATCGCAGGTGAAGTTATAGTCCTTAGCCATTAGAAACGCTGTGCATTTAACGCGTCCGACGGTGGCACAAAAACTTTTACCAGCTCAGTTTCCGTCCTGGGTTTCCTACATCGACCGAAAGACCCAGTGGCTGCCCCTTCGCAATCTTCAGACATGACGAGAAACTAAAACAAAAAAAAGCGGGGAAAGACGAAAAGAGTTTTTACAGCGCTTCACCCAGGAGAACTACGAACACAAACCTTAATGATTCGAGCAGCCTTTTAACCTCTGCGTAACAGCCCATAAATAACATCCACTTGCCTTTTCACCATGACAACCTCAGCGACGATTAAGATGTCATGTAGTAAGTAAATATTCTACCCCTTGCTTACAAAAACAGAAGCCACTCGAAGTTAATGCTTATCCTCCGTGTATTATTCTGTTAAGATCTGCATTCGGGACTCGGAACTGGTTAACACAAAGGTTTAGTCCCCAAAGTATCAATTTCTGGTGTCAATCAAAACCAGTTTGGAGTCAGTTGGAAAAGGGAATTGATTTTTTAATAACAGCAATTAAAAGAGCAGCGTTTGCCCCAAACGTCTTTGAAAAGGGTAACCCAAAGGTGAAGGGTTTTAATAAGCTTCTCGAGGACTAATTACTCCAGATTTAACAGGGTGCGTCTTCCATTGCTAATTTGAAGGAAATATTGGGAATTTAAACTGAAAAGCCGTCTCCCTCGTTTTAACAGGCAACAATTACAGCTGCAGGTGATTCAAACTGATCTTTTCCAAATGGAAAACAGTTTTCGGTGTTTGTGGCTGATAATTGTGTGCACGTACTCGTTAAATCGAAATACGGACCCTTTTTTTAAAGGCACAGAATCCTCAGAGACAACATGTTTATAGCAGCAGTGTCTCAGATACTGCTTATGCGTACCTTACAGGAAAAAGAGTTATTTTAACTAACAGCCCGCAAAATACCCACCCTACCCTCTTTATAAACGATTAATCCAATACAGCATAGACGTGTAAACACCTATGGGGAGTCTACAGAGAACAGTAACATTAAGGCTCGAAAAAACGAGGTTTTCCGAAAAGAAGCAAGTTTTCGGAGGCATATGAAATCACAAAACAATAAAAGAACCCCAAGATCGGTCTTAGGCATTCAAGAGCAGCCCAAGTCATGCGGGGGGAAGAAACGTTTCCACTTACCGTCTCGCTTGAGACTGCATTCAGGGCATTTCCTTTATCTTCTGCTTTGCTACACACAAGCATTTGTTCACCTTTCCAGTACATTTTACTTTCAGACTCGTCTCTCGTACATGCCCCCCCCACCACCCCCAAACACAAGGTTAACCCCCCGTGTAGAAATCCCGAGACGATTCCCAATCGCGTTATTTCTCCCGATCCACGAAGACCAGCAAGTTACTCCTGGAGTCCCATTTTACAGTTTGCCTAAAGCCCATACTCTCGTAAAAAGTTTTGTTTTCGGCAGGGAGGAACTTTTTTTCCCCCCTCAGTGTTTTCCTGGCGTTTTTGGCCGCACCTCCTCGTCTGATACACGCCTATGGATGTGTTTGGTGGTTGTACGAGGAACATGGTTATGAGACCAACGTCAGAATTACCACAATAACTTTTTTTGACTGACTTTTATCTCTCATCAGTTGGCAGGCTCGTGCGAACACTTAAAGAGAGCGCTCATGTTTCATCTTTGCTCTGCACCGCCCAAAGGTAAAAAAAAAAGAAAGAAAGAAAAAAGAAACACGAACAATTAAAACCAGCTCTGCCGAGCCTGCACACTGCTTCCGATTCTTGTCGTTATCCACCCCTGAACTGAATCCTGAACAAAAAAAAAACAACAACAACATTCAACGTTTTATCTCGCAAAGGCGCAAACGATCCTTAAAACCTCTCCCATTAAGATTAACCCGTAGCATCTGGATGACAAGATAAACTGGCGAGGTTTTTAGTTTATTGTCAACCAACCAACCACCTGCACTTGCTAAGTGGTACCTCGGGATACCAATATAGCATCAGCGCTAATGGAACTCACTGATGCTGAGGAGATTTGGAGAAACCCTAAGCGATTGAATAAAGACCGGGTTAAGGCGCTGCGTGTCGAGCACACAATAAAGAACGCGGGTTTGTTTTTAGCATTGTAGTAATTGTTTCAAATACCCCCACAGTTTGATTGACAGCTGTCACACCTGAACTCCCTTTTCTGCTCCCGTTCGGGCACGTATCTGTGTAGCGGAGTTAGAAACGTGTTTAGGAACCACATACCCAAGCGCGACGCGTTTACTTCTGGTTAATTCTCAGCCACTCGAGCGCCCCGAAAGTGAGAAATACAGTTCCACCGAAAGACTGGAGATGTATAAAGAGCGTCGTAAGTTTCGTTTTTTTTTTAAATATTCATTGTTTTTCTTAACCTTCAACTTCTCGCGTCGAAAAGTACAACCTTGACACGATTCCTGAGATGATGCACGAGGTTCTGAGCGGCCATGTGCGTCTTAAGGATCTGAAGGGATATTTCAATCAATGACAGTCGGTCTTGCAAAGCCTTTTCTGTTCAGGTTTGTTTTTCTTACGTGTTCAGTAATATATTAGTATTCACAAAGTAAAATAACGTGTCAGTCTTGGAAGGTACTATAGAAAAATAAATAAATATGTTGTAAGCTATTATATTCCATTCGATTTCGTTATACAGATTTAAAACACGACGAGACGTTTAAAGTTATAAGGTATGAGTAAATAATTAGGTATCAAACTGATATCTGTTATTTATATATTATATATACCAGTATACTATATAATCGTTATATACAACGTTCTGTTGGTTAAGATCATCGTTGGTATTAATCCTACACAGCAAAATGTGTTGACAATTATAATGAAAGTATCCCAAATATTTTAGGTAGCAATGCGTTCCTTCCAGTTTTATTGAAATGTCTTCTGAGGCTTGTTGTTTAAGCAAAATCTTATAGTGAAAGCGAAACAGGCTACCAGTGGAAAAAACATTAAATACATTGTATTCATTTGTTGTTCTTAGTTTTGACCTATAAACACACTTGCAGAGAATGTTTCATCTCAATGAATCTGCAGCGTACTGTAACACCACCTCCATACAACGTGGTAGAAAAATTGGGTGTTTTTTGTGAACAAACCGACATAATAGGTGTCATTGTGAGTGTAGAATGTCTGCTTCCTTGTCATTATTATGTTGACATAAATCATTCTAAATGAAATTATTTCAGTCAGTTTTTCTACCTGACAAACATGAACAATAACAGTAATTATAGACTCAATACGTTTTATAAGCAGGTATAACAAACGTGTTTGCATACCTTCAGATAAGCGTTGTACTTTGTTCCCATTTCATTTTGAATATTTTTATGTTATATGCATTTTAAGGTAAAGACATTGAGAAAAATCTTTGTATGATTTTCTCTCAATGTTTTTGATTTTTATCAAATCACCCCCAATAAACAAGAAGTGCAATTCATACACCATAAATGTTAGCCAAATAAAATAGTATTTTTAAACAGATCTGCAGCTGTAAAATGTTTTTGCAGTATTATTTTTTCATTCGTATTATTATATTAGCATCTATGTATTGTGTGTTCTTATGCTGGGATAGAGGATCAGTGGGTGATTTTGGGAGGGGGTTGATAAGAAGCGAACTTTTTCAGTCAAGTACTCTGAAACCATTAGCTTCGGTTTGGGTAGTTATTTGTTATTAAATACGTGATTTGTTTTTCATTATCGGTATTTTTAATCAAGAACACACCGCGCCGATAAGCCAATAATTCCAGCGTCATGGAAGACTACTTGCGTGCGCCGGTTTCGAATACAAAAGGGAAGTCTCGCACACTAGGGCGGCCTGTCTTTAACCATCACTCATTTACAAAATATTACTATTTAAAATGTACATTTCTTCATCACAATCACCGTAAGTATATCTTCTCATAACCTAAACATATGTAACTTCACTTCCTTTGAAGATTGAATGTCAAATAATCATTCGATTAACATTTCGGTGTTGTTGATGTGTTTATTAATATTGTACATATTAATAACTCTTTAAATATAGGAAACTAAATGGCTCATTTATGATGTGGAAAAAGCTTGGTATCATTGTACGAGTCGGGGCTCCGGCCAGTGCAGTTCAGTACGAAGCTCCAGGAGTAACTCGCTGCAGTTGTGAATGGTCTCTTCCAGCAAAAAAAACACGTCAGTCCACTTAGAAAATAACCTCAGTATTTGCATATAAGAAAATCTACTTTTCATCATTCGCATTGTATAATTGTCTAATTAATCTTATCTAAATGGTTGGCAATTTTCTAATGACATTAAGACGCCGGTGTATATTTTAACACTATAGATTTTCTTTTATATGCACATCAGATATTATATAGCCAATGAAGGTCCCACCACGCACTTTCAATTATATAGATTAAAATTACAAAAAGGTCCAATTGGCTGTATCCAATCCCGGGAAAAAAAATGTATATTTAAAAAAGCGCTAAACAAATTGTTAGAAAAAATCCACCCTTTCGAAGAGTATATGATGATTTTTAAAAATAAATACCTCACAAAACCTACATACCATCAATACAGGTTTAATCCTACAGGAAATGCACTAGTCTGAAGGGTGTCTTTTTATGTATTTTCTACAGCTTTAAAGAAACCTTTTCGTTATTTGACGGGATTCGTTATTTTTTATTATTTCAAACAAGAGACATTCACTGTCATCTACGATTATTTCCCAGATATAATAAGAAATAATTACACAAATAAAAGTTATTTTCATTCCAGATGTTAATATTCCATTTAACCAATAGCAATTTCATGCCTATAGTTTGTGTTATACACGACATTACAACGTACTACAGTATATCACTGTCATTGAGTATTAATAAACTACGTGTTGTCCTTTTACTGTTTAAATATTGCTGCCATAATGTGTACAGAATCATCAAACCAAAAGTTTGTTTTATTAATCATTCTCACTATACTCACTTTGTTCATTTTCGTCATTTGCTTTTAAGGTCCGGTTGATTCATAATAAAGAAAAGGGGGACGTACTTCTATTTTATCAAGTACTGTAGGACTTTCCATAACGCAAAATTAAGAAAGTTTAGGAAAGAGAGGAGACCAGCCGGCACCGGTCTGGTTGCTGATCCCTTCAATGTTTGTAAATAAACGCATTTGATGTAAAAATAACGTTTCAAAAAGGTAAATTGAATTGGCTAGTAGTGTAACTGGGCGATTGTTTATAGCTACATACTGTATAACAGCAAGTTAATTCCTTGTTTGTTTTTATGTTAATGTAGCCTAGTCTTTCAAATCAATCTAGAAGACAAATGCGCTGCGATCGACGCTCACTGCTTATGTCTTGAATATTCGCCTCTTCTTAGCTGCTTTATCATTTGCCGCCCTGTGCGTAATGAATTTTGTGATGAGGATTATTTTTCTTATTAATACTTGAAAATGATGTCGGAGAGTCCTAATCTTCATCAGAGGAAGTGGTTAACTCCTTCCCGCAAAAGTTGGTTTATTAGTACGGCGGCATTTGAAAGCAGTTAACGATTCAGCACTTAAGCCAAACAGATCAACTGGGGCAAAAAAAAAAAACTCACTTTCATAAGTAAAATATGTGATACATTTTGGGTGGTAATGAATATGATAGTTTCCATATTGTACGGGCTCTCTTGAAATGAGAAAAGTTCTTTCAGATGGTGCAGTTGGACAAATCCTGACTTTGGAAAGGAGAAAGGAGTCAGCCGAGCAGGTGGAGCCTTTTTCTTACGATTCACAAAATAAAGATCAAGCCGTCTATTTGTAAGTCATTGATGATGCTGACATATGGAAACGATCTTTATGGGTTTGCCCAAGCAGCGGGACAGGTAACGACGCTGCACTGGATTCGTGCGCAACGCAGCGCGTCTACTATTTTGAACACTAAGGCTATAACTTCTCAGCGGCGATTCACAAAATATTCACCCATGTCCCACTGTATACTTCCCCAGTGTCAGAATCACTGGGATTTAGAAGGTGATCTCTCCCACTGAATGCCAAGCAATTATAATTCTGTCTGCCTCGCCCGCTTTAACTCAGAGCAGTTCTTTAATTATGAAGACATCGGAATTTAGAACAGGAATATGGAGGGAAACATTAACCAGAGATGTTTCGCTGGATCCAAGATCAACCTTTTAACTAGGATACAACAAATCCCGAGTATATCCTTCATGGGGAAACTCGGTTTAGATTTTATTTCCATGACACCAGGAAGCAAAATAAAAGTCGTTGAAAAAGGTTACACGTCCTTACTTGCTTTTTGTATGGAAAAAGTCGGAGTCGGGCAGGAGCCGGCGTTTGCGTCCTCTCTCTAGTTCTGACTGACCGACAGCAGCTGAGAGGATATAGCTTTGTTTTCCCGGCAGTTTTGAGCAATCTGTGCTGTTCAAGTTGCGTTTCTGCGCCAACCGCTGAAACAAAGACAGTTGTTCAGGATTCAAAAGCAAAAACACACTCTCCCAGAGTCTAGTATACCTAGTAAAAAAAAAAAACCTAATTATTTTTAATTTGCTGAAAAGGCAATGGGTTTCTACAAGGATGACATTTTCTTAAGTGTTAATTTGATCTACTGGTACGGGTTAAATGAGGGACAAAAAATGTTCCCTCAAAATGCAGGTGCATTTAGCACCCCGTAGCTAAAGCGTCGAGTCACATGTGCTCTATGAATAGCTTTAACGAGAGGAAATTAGCTCCTGTTACACATATGCATTTTTATAAATTACCATCAGTACTATTCA